AATGTTTTTTACATTATATTTCCAAATTTTAAATGGTTAATGGTATTCTCTACTGCACAGTGCTGTGGCACCTGGGTGGTTCAGTTGGTTAAGTGTGGGATGCTTGGCTTTAGCTCAGGTCCGATCCCTGGATCTTTATGATGTCTGGATCTTGGGTCTTCGGATCAAGTTCTTCGTTGGGCTCTGCACTCAGTGTGGCCTCTGCTTCAGATTCTCTCCCTCACCCTCCTGCTCACTCACTCTCTCAGAAAGGAAAGAATCTACATAGTCCCTCTCATAGCATAGGACAAAATAAAAATTGTATGCAAAATTCATTGTGACAGTAGCTTTAGCATACTAATCTCTGTGGATGGTAACTTTATGCTGTGCTGCTGGACATCTGAATCAAGACTTTAAATTTATTTATTTATTTTTATTTTTTTAAAAACATTTTATTTATTTATTTGAGAGAAGAGAGAGACAGTGAGAGAGAGCATGAGCGAGGAGGAGGTCAGAGGGAGAAGCAGACTCCCTGTGGAGCTGGGAGCCTGATGCGGGACTCGATCCCGGGACTCCAGGATCATGACCTGAGCTGAAGGCAGTCGCTTAACCAACTGAGCCACCCAGGCGCCCTAAATTTATTTATTTTATTTTGAAAGATTTTACTTATTTGACAGAGAGAAACAAAATGAATGGGGGCAGGGGTAAAGGGAGAGGAAGGAGAAGATGCCCCACTGAGCCGGGAACCCGATGCGGGGCTCGATCCCAAGACCCCAGGATCATGACCTGAGCTGAAGGCAGATGCTTAACCCCTGACCCACTCAGGCATCAAAGACTTTTTTTTTTTTAAGATTTTATTTATTTATTTGACAGAGATCACAAGTAGGCAGAGAGGCAGGCAGAGAGAGAGAGAAGGAAGCAGGCTCCCCGCCAAGCAGAGCCTGATGCAGGGCTCGATCCCAGGACCCTGGGATCATGACCTGAGCCGAAGGCAGAGGCTTTAACCCACTGAGCCACCCAGGCACCCCAGGCATCGAAGACTTTAAATCTCAATAAGCAACTCCTACAACTCAATAGTCCCTGAAAAATCAGATTAAAAAATAAGCAAGTCTGAATAGACATTTCTCTGAAAAAGACATCCACATGGCCAACAGACACATGAAAAAATGCTCCACATCACTCATCTTCAGGGAAATGCAGATCAAACTGCAGTGAGATACCACCTCACACCAGTCAGAATGCCTGTGATCAAAAAGACAATTACAAGTGTTGGTGAGTTTGTGGAGAAAAGAGAACCCTTGTGCATTGTTGGTGGGAATGCATATTGGTGCCATCACTATAGAAAACATTGTGGAGGTTCCTCAAAAAAAAAAAAAACAAAACAAAAAACAAAACTACCATCTGATCCAGCAGTTCAACTTCTGGGTATTTATGCAAAGAAAATGAAATCACTACCTCAAAAAGCTATCTGTACCCCCGTGTTCACTGTAACATTATTTACAATAGCCAAGATATGAAAACAACTTAAGGCCATTGATGGATGAACGGATAAAGAAAATGTAATAATACATATAGTTATAAATATCAATATAAATACAGAGAATGGGATATTATTCACTCATAAAAAAGGAAATGCTGACATTTGCAACAACTTGGATGTACCTTGAGATCGTTATGCTAAGTGAAGTAAGTCAAATACTGTATGATCTCCCTTATATCCGGAATCTTAAAAAACAAAACAAAACAAACAAACTCATACATAGAACAAATCGTTGGTTGTCAGAGGATGGTGGGGAATGAAGGAGTGGGTGAAATGGGTGAAGTTGGTCAAAAGATACGAAGTTCCAGTTATAAATACCTCCTGGGCATGTCATGTACTGCATGGTGACTGTAGTTGGTAATACTGTACTGTGTTGTTCAAAGTGCTAAGGGAGGGGTGCCTGGATGGCTCAGTCAGCTACGGGTCTGACTCAGTTTTGCCTCAGGTCATGATCCCAGGGGTGTGAGATCGAGCCCTGTGTCAGGCTCCATGCTGCGTCTGGAGCCTGCTTAAGATTCTCTCTCCCTCTCCTCCTGTCCCCCGCCCCCCTTTAACAAACAATTACTAATGGAGTAGATCTTAAAAGTTCTAGTCATAAGAAATTGTGAGGTGATGGATGTTAACTTATTAGGGTAAACATTTTTCATGGATAGATAGATACAGATTTGTAATATTATGTTGTATACCTAAAATGAATACAATGTTATATGTCAAATATCTCTCCATTTAAGAAAAATTTAAATTCCAGGGATGCCTGGGTGGCTCAGTTGGTTAAGCATCTGCCTTTGCCTCAGGTCATGATCCCAGTGTCCTGGGATCAAGTCCCCATTGGGTGTATTTTGAAATGTTTCCTGTTTAGTGTTAGGAATTAAGACATGTTCAGATTCTTCTCAAAATCTAATGTAAAAAACGTCACAAGCAACTTTGGAAACTACTTTTCTCATGAAACAATATTGCAATAGATTATCATACCTTTTGTAAACAAATCACATTAATAAAATGAAAATAGGTTTTTAATCAAAACAAATGCAGGAATGAGAGGCACCTGGGTGACTCAGTCATTTGAGCACCTCACTCTTGGTTTCAGCTCAGGTCATGATCTCCTGGTTGTGAGGTCGAGCCCTGCATTGGGCTCCATGCTCAGCGTGGAGTCTACTTGAGATTCTCTCCCTCTCCCCCTCACCCCTGCTCATTCTCTCTCTCTCTCAAATAAATAAATAAATAATAAAATCTTTTTAAAGATGTAGGGATGAAATGTGAACCATCTAATATTTTGCACCTATGCAGGGAAGACTGAGATTGGCTGGCAGATCTCATCTTTTCTGGAGGGAAAAACTTGTCCTGAGCTAGGTTGTCTCCTAAGAGAGTAAGCTCCCAGAATAGGGGCTCCACAAAGCTGGGGTTCTGAAGTCTGGGCACAGGAATCAGAATACACAGGTTTTAAGATGTTTAAAAAGATTAATGATAGTCTGGATATGAAAACATTTTTCTTTTTTTTTTTGAGATCTTATTTATTTATTTGTCAGAGAGAGAGAGAGAAAGAGAGCATGCGCAAGAAGGGGGAGCAGCAGGCAGAAGGAGAGGGAAAAGCAGGCTCCCAGCTGAGCAGAGAGCCTGATGCAGGACTTGATCCCAGGACCCTGAGATCATGACCTGAGCTGAAGGCAGATGCTGACCCAACTGAGCCACCCGGTGCCCCTGAAAATGTTTTTCATGGTGAGTTCAGTAAAGTTTAAAAAGACTATGGATATCCACTTTTCATTTCTGATGCTTTCAGTGAGTTAAAACGTCTAGAAAGCCATTTTTTAAAAAACGTGTGTAATGAATAAAACAGCATCTTGAGTATGGGCTGCATTACGGAAAGAGTCGCACTGTTTTTCTAACCGGCTTCTAGTCTGTCTGTCTTCACTCTGCGGTAACCGGTATCCAGCTCCCCCGGTGATGCACGCAGGATGGTGTCTGAGAGCCCTACTCAGTCTTCACATTTGTAGAGAGTTTGAATTTTCAAGCCCCAAACTCAGTGTGTAGGAAGCATGTGTAGATGTCTTTCTGTAATTAAATGATTTCCATACTTCATTTCCAGCTCACTTTCTACTATGGTAGAATAATTCATCTAGCTAATTCCAGCTAAATTTAGTCTCCTCACATTTCCTCTTGGTCAGTCCAGATATCAACCAAGTCAGTTCTTCACCTGCTCCTTCTTGGGGCGCAGGGAGAACTGACTGCTCTCAAATTCTCTAGCCCTTTCTTCCCGCCACCCCCTACAGAGTTCCTGTTCCGTCTTTTGGCACAAGGAACTCCTCTGGGGCTCCAGGTTTCGTGATGGGAAGCAGAGAATCTCTTCTGTTCTCAGACCTCCAGACTGTCCTGGAGATTCTATTGTCCTGTCCCTTATTTCTTTTTTCTTTCTCTCTCTGTTTTTTTTTTTTTTTTTTTTTTTTAAGATTTTATTTATTTGACAGAGAGAGAACAAGTAGGCAGAGCGGCAGGCAGAGGGAGAGGGAGAAGCAGGCTCTCCGCTGAGCAGGCAGCCCGATGCAGGTCTCCATCCCAGGACCCTGGGATCAAGACCTGAGCTGAAGGCAGATGCTTAACTGACTGAGCCACCCTGGCACCCGTCCTGTCCCTTAATTCTGTCCTTAGAACCCACTGGGAAGTGAGCCCCTTAGACATCTCGCCAGCATTTCCCTCATTCCCACCCAGCCTCTTCCTCTCCCTCCCCAGTTAGGAGGAGTCTGTAGTATATGAAGAGGAAAGGGGGTTGATGTTGTGGGAGAAAGGTAAGCTAATTTTGGAATCATAGACATTCTGAGATCCGTGTCTACTGCAGGTTTTGGCATTTTAGCACTACAAGGACAATTTTCCCTGGAGTAGTTACCCTAATCAGGTAACAGTATACAGGGGGGGATTCTCCCTCCCCCCCGTATCACAGCAGGGAGTAGCCCATCAGTTAATTCTTAACAGTGTCACTCACAACCCTCGTGTTCATGGGGAAGGGTCAACCATTGGTCCCTGTTCCAGAAAGGCTTAAGCAGAAATGGAAGTGGTCTGGGGGTGTTAAATATGTGCAATTTACATTAATCCAGCTGACAGGGTCCAAGCAAATCTTAAAACTAGTTTTGCTTGGGGGCTTCTTGCTAGTGCAGTTGGTTAAGCATCCAGCTTTGGGTTTGGCTCAGGTCATGACCTTGGGGTACTGGGATTGAGCCTCACGTCGGGCTCCGCACTCAACGTGGAATCTGCTTGAGATTCTCTCTCCCTCTCCTGCCCCTCCCACTGGTGCATGCACTCTCTCTCAAATAAATAAATCTTTAAAAAAAGGGGCGCCTGGGTGGCTCAGTAGGTTAAAGCCTCTGCCTTTGGCTCAGGTCATGATCCTAGGGTCCTGGGATCGAGCCCTGCATCGGGCTCTCTGATCAGTGGGGAGCCTGCTTCCCCCTCTCTCTCTGCCTGCCTCTCTGCCTACTTGTGATCTCTCTCTGTCAAATAAATTTTTCTGTCAAATAAATTTTCTTCCCATTCACATGTCCCCATTTTGGTGTTTTTGGTCTTTTTCTCTTTAATCTTACCTCTCTCTCTCTCTCTCTCAGCTTCTGCACTAAAGCGACCTCAGACTCATAGGCCAAGAAGGCAGAGCTCCTTCCTTCAGAAGGAATTCCTGGGGAGAGGTTCAGATAGACAAGGGCGTAAAACAAAGTGCTGACACATCCCTGTCATCTCGATCTTCTTCTTGCAGTTTGGAATCAGTGTTGTGTTTTTGTTTTTTTTTCTTCTGTTCGTTAGGACTGCAGTATTTTTGTAGGGTCCAGTCTTGGTTTGTGCTCTCGAGTTGCCCAAGTGAATGAACATTTCTCACGACTCAGCAGCTTAGCCTCTACTTCCCAAGCCAGGCACCCGTGTCCCTCATTCCCTAGGACTCAGAAGTTCTTGTTTTCCTTTCCTGTTTTCTCTGGATCTTGTTTCTTTGCTCTCTGTTTGCCAGGTCAACTCAGAGTCTCATAAAGCAGTGTTGTTGAACTGGAAGGGATTGGGGATGGGAGAACAGGCGAGTCCACTAGCGGCGAGTTCCATAAAGATGTGCTGCTGGAGGTGCTGCTTCTGAAATTCAGCGGCTCCTGGAGTTGAGGAGAAGGCCAAATATGTAGCCAACTCTGTTGGCCTTTGGAAAACTTGAGACCCTTGATCTTGTAACCTTGGAAGCAGGACTGAGATCCAGTAAAACTGAGATCTAATGCTGGTATACTTCTCCAGAGTCAGCAGGAGAAAAGAAACAACTTGCCAAGTCATATATTTTAACCCTTAAACAGAACAGATATTAAGAGGATATGATATTATGATATTAAAATATTAAGAGGATACTCAAAGCATAATCAAGCTAGAGCTAAACGGAGTTATTGCTTAAATCAGCGCTTCCCAAACTTTAATATGCACCCCATCCCTTGGGGCTCATGTTATGGCGCAAATTCAAACATAGTAGGTCTGGCGGGGGGTGGGGGTAGAGCTGGACTTCCACATTGGTGATCCGTTCCTGGTTCAGGGATCACACGTTGGGTAGCAAGAGCTCGAGGCAGGTGGGAGAGAAGGACGCGTCCTCAACTGAAGCTAAGAGGGGCTCCATACCCAAGCACTTAGAGCTAATAGTGAACTCCCCACTCTGCTCTCTTCCCTAAGCCCGGTCTACCAGCTGCCCTTGTGGTCACCTTTCCTGTCCTATGACGGACGTTTCCTTCCCTTCCAGAGCTGCTAATGCTTTTTCAGTTACAAGAAGGGGAAAGCAAGGAGAAAGCAAGGCTGGCTCACTCATTGGAAGGATACTCGGCAGTTCACAGAATTTGAAGAGCTGACCCGCCGGTCTTGGGAGAGATGGACACCAAGGCGGTTCAGGGGCCTGAGCAGCCAGAGCAGCAGGCCCTTCCCGGCACATCCCATTAGATGCCTGAATTCTGTCTCCTCAAGGTACAAGTTTGGGCCAGGTGTTATTACCTTCAAAGTTCTCAGCATATGCCAGTTAAATTTGTGTGTGCTGTCCCTTTCTTTGTCCCTTTTAAGACTATCCTTGACCATTTTAACTTGTATTTACATGTATGCAAATGGTGTATGTGTGTCTCTGTGTGTCTGTCCAGGAGCAAAGGAGACGTTATTGCTATAATATGATGTCTCCCCAAATTAATTATCGAAAAATCCCCTGTATATCAAACTTAGGACTTTTAAAATACATGATCTTACATTGTTTGGATTACATATGTCTTGGATATATAACTAAAATGTTCTCTGTGAGCAAGGACCATCTTTTATATAAAATAAACAAGGCTTTTTGTCTGACTTAAAAAACACATTGTGAATTTTCAAAAGGCCTTTTGAGACATTCTTTCTTTGTAATCATAGGGGTGGTATCTCTGAAAACATCCCAAGAGAGGAATGTAAGATTGAGTGATAAAACAACAAATAAGAGAATGGATTTTCCTCTTCTATGTACTATGTGGCTTTGGCCAATTACTTTTTTTCTGAAGTTCCTGCAACTGAAAGTTAAACAAGCTCCTTTCTCATATATTTGTCTGAATGATTAGATAATATGTATAAAAAGTGTGTTTGAACTGCTTTAAAAATTTAGCTATTTCTAGCATCATTACTGTTACGGAATTTGAGACTATGAGAACAATACGGAACTTGAAGGCAGGGGGGAACTATGAAAGCACTTAATTATATTCACTAAAATATAATGATGGCGACAAAACAAGGAAAGACACACCAAGGATGTTTTATATCTCTTAAATGAGAAATGGTGAGTATGGTTCTATACATTTCCATTTCCCGACTTTTGTTCACCAACTGCTTTTCATGACTTCACTGCTTCCCGGTTTTAAAGAAATCTTTGCACATTTGTTTTGCTTTGTTGAAGCTAATATGCCCACTATAAGACATTCATTTCTTTTCTTTCTTTTTTTTTTTTTTTTAAGATTTTACTTATTTGACAGAGAGAGAGAGAGAGAGAGAGATCACAAGCAGGCAGAGGCAGGCAGAGAGAGAGAGGGGAGCAGGCTCCCTGCTGAGCAGAGCCCAGGACCTTGAGATCATGACCCGAGTCAAATGCAGAGGCTTAAGCCACTGAGCCACCCAGGTGCCCCAAGACATTCCTTTCTTGAGTCTGGTTCTCTTGCCAGATACTTAAAGCATTTTTTTTTTTTTTTTTTAATGATTGTAAGAGATCGCAGCTTCCCATTGTCTAGGTTCTGTCCCTAGGTTCTGCTCTTTTCCCGGAGGCGGAATAACTTGGATGGTTAAAGTGGAAAAGGCTTGGGTAATAATGTGCTGTTCTGCTCCCAGCTCCACTCGAACTCCCTCTTCAAGGCCCAGGGGCCTCCACCCCTAATCATAACCCTACTGGGGTTATCCTGGTGCCAGGGGCTCCCCAGTTCTCCTCACCTACACAACCTTTTATGCACTTCTAAGGTGTGTGTTATTCTGTTATTCATGCCAAGAATTTATTTTATTTTATTTTATTTCTGCCTGCCAGCTCATTTTCCTTTTGCCTCCTTCTCCTCCTCCTCTTCTCCTCCTTCTCTGCCTTAAAGTAACATTCCCTTCTTTTCTCAAATAATCACAACAGGAATGCGCAGCCGCCCCTGAGAGCTGGAACTGACGTTCTCAGATTGCCAACATGACATCTGGACAGAAATTCACATTTATTAGGATATCGTGTGGGGATAACTCAAGCAGTCAGAAAGAGGTTCCTCTCTCTCTCTCTCTCTCTCTCTCTCTCTCTTTTTTTTTGCATCCCCCAAGCCCAGGTACTCAATTTAAAAATCTTTAATAGAATTGAATCCTGTTCTCATTGGAGGAGGAACAGAATATGACAGAGAAACAGGAACTGAAAGAAGTCAAGAATCTGAAAGGAAATAAATCAATGAAAAGGGCTTTTATCTTGTGGTCCTTTCTGCTGCATTCATCTGAAGAAACCGACTCTGATAGTACCAAGCGCAGAGGGAATAAATACGGCAAACATTCTTTTTGGGGGTGATTGTGCCTTCCTTGGCGATCTACATCATTTTATTGAGGATGTTGCTACTTAAGCGTTTCGAGTTGACTTTTTCACGGGAGACGGCCGTTCCCTTGCCTTCTTAGGAACAGGATTCAAGTCCTGCTGATTGGCGGGACTTCTCTTGGCCACTACGATTTCATCTACACTCACCAGCTGGAGAACCACATCAGCCACCGCTCGAAGTCCTTGGGCTTTGGCTACTAGGGTGTCCCACACCTCTCCCTCCGCCACGTTTATTATCCCCTCAGCCCCCACGCCTACCAGGAAGTTCCCAGCTTGGTGGGCGCAGCTCAGCTCTGCCATGACCTCTGAGACCAGCAAGCCTGCGTTCTCGGCCAAGGTCTCCGGAAGAGACCGAAGGGCCTGTGCAAATGCTAGGAAGGCGGGGCCGTTAGGCCCTTCCAGTCGGCTTCCTTTCTCTGAGAGTATTTTTGCCAGAGCCATCTCGGTGGCCCCCGCTCCCGGCAGCATCCTGGGGTCCTGGCACAGCTGGGAGTAGGCGTCGATGCCGTGGTACACAGCCTGCTCCGCGCTCTTTAGCCCTTCCGCTGTGGCCCCCCTGAGGACCAAGGTGAGGGCAGGGGTACCTGAAGATTCCCATTCGAACACCACAGCCAGACCTTCCCCCAGCTCCTGCTCGTACACCCTCTGGCACTTTCCCGGCTTCGGGGGAGGAAGAAGGTGGGGCATCAAAGGCGTGCCCAGCCCCCGGCTCAAGTAAACCACATCCCTGTGGGCCCTGGCCTGAATCACCATGATGCCGTACTTGTCAGCCTGTGCCAGCGTCTTCTCATCGATGTCCCCCCAAACCACTGCCACATTAATACATGCTTTTGCCAGCTGGGCTACTTGCTTGTCTATCAACTGTTCATTTCCTTTCCTGAATTTAGTGAGGTCCTCGGGACTAGAGAGACGGGCCGTCGCCGGAGCCTGGGGGTTGGCAGGACCAAAGGTGCAGACAAAGAGGGCCACCCTGGCGCCGCTCAGCACCGTGGTCACCTGCCCGCAGGGGCTCGCGCTCAAGGCCAGCCCCGGGAGCAGGCACGAGTCCTCCAGCCTCCCCCCTCGCAGGGTGCACACCCCCACGCGCTCGCGGTGGAAGCTGCCGTCCAGCTCCTTGGTGGCCCAGCACGCGTGGGCCACCAGCTTGGCCAAGTAGTCCATCTGGGGCGCGGCGTGGGTGTTCATCACTGAATAGAGGGCCCAAAAGGGGTCTTCCAAGGGCCCCAGGGAGCGGATGGACAGGGAAGGCAGCAGGGCCAGGGTCTCGGCGGTGGCCTCGGCGTAGGCCTGGCGCAGCTGGGAGCGGGGCAGGCCGGCGCGCAGCAGGTGCTCGGCCTGCCGGAGCAGGGCTTCCGCCAGCAGAACCACGAAGGCCGCACCGTCGCCGGGGCCCTCCGCCTGCGCGTGGGCCGCTTCGCGCAGGAGCCGCGCCGCCGGGTGCTCCAGCTCCAGGGCCCGGAGGACGGCCGCGGCGTAGCCCGTGAACACCGTGCTTCCTCCGGCGGTGACCAGAAGCTTCTGCCGCCCGTGGGGGCCGTAGCAAGGCCGGATGACCCTGGCCAGGGTCTGCGCCGCGGGCACGCTGCCGAGCAGGTGCCTCTCCGGCGCTCCCGGGCTCCTCGCGCGCCGCCGCGGCCCGGCCGCCAGGCGCTCGGGCAGCTGCGGTGGCGCCGAGGTGGCTCTGCCGGCCATCGCCTGCCGAGTGCGGGAGCCCGCCCCGCCCGCCCGCCGAGGCGGTGCAGGAGCCGGGGGAGGGGGGCGCCCGGGCCGCGGGTCTCGGACCGACGCTTCTTGGGGGGGGGGGGTCAGTGGAGAAAGGAGCCAAATGCCCCCCCCAGCCGGGCCCTGGAGAAGTGGGCGCTCCAGGATCTGCTGAGAGCCCAGCCCTCCACCACTCCCCAGACTGACCTGCAAGGAACGGGGCTTTGGGGCCTCTGAAGCTCCGGGGCTGAGACGGACATGACCGTGATGAAGTCACAGAACGGCCCCTGGAAACAGGGGGCAGAGAATGAGGTCACAGAAGGAGGCTTGGAGTGGAGGGTGGGGGCGCGCGAGCAGGCAGAAGTCGGGCCAGGTCAAATGGCAGATGAGGGACACATGCGTGCGCCGGGCTCCAGAGTGTCATTTCAACTTGGGAGACCGTGGAGAGGAAAGCAAGTGAAAATCCCACCCGCCTGAAATTCCTGATGAAGCTGTGGCTCCTGCCCTGTGGGTTGTTTTTGCGTGGGGAAGCGGGGTTTTGTTTTACTTCCTCGTGAAGGGCCAGGTACTACCAGCTCGGTTGTTATCTGTCCGCCCTGGCGGCTTTGGCCACCTTCGCCGCCGGTGCTGGTGCTGCCCACCAGGTTCTTTCCCGTGTTTATCTGTCTTTCAGGTTGCAGGTGTGTGATGCTCCTCCTCCCAGGGACAACGATGTCACCGAGCTGGCAAAGGCAGGTCAAGACAAGGGCGGGAAAGATGCTGACAGCCTACAGAAAAAATGAACAGAAATGTTTGCAGCTCAGTGCAAGTCACTAGCCTCCCAGTGCTGGGAAAGGCAGAAAACCACAGGGAATGAATTTAGGCCCCTCAAGTCTTATCCTCAATCCCCAGAAATTCGGTTCTTTCCTTCCAGTAGCCCTCCTTCTAGCCCTCCTTCCCTTGCTCCCTCTCTCCCTCTTTCCTCAAATAGAGCCTAGTGGGGTAACCATGGCTCCTTTTTTAGTGTAATAAATCTTTATTGAGCACCTACTATGTTCAACGGAATGAGGACTACAAAAGAACAGGAACATGGACACCAGGAAGGGGAAGAGATTTGCACCACAGGAATACCACTTCTGTAGGCATGGGGCAGAGCACCAGCTGGAAGGGACTAAGATTATTAAGAGTGGGGGGGTGCGGGGAACGTGCCTGGGTGGCTCATTTGGTTAAGTGTCTGCCTTCAGCTCAGGTCATGATCCCAGGGTCCTGGGATGGAGCCCCCCATTGGGCTCCCTGCTCAGTGGAGAGTCTGCTTCTCCCTCTCCTGCTTCCCCTGCTTGTGTTCTCCCTCTCTCTCTATATGTGTGTGTCTCTCCCTGTCAAATAAATAAACAAAATCTTAAAAAAAAAAAAAAAAAGTAGGGGAAAGACAGAGCATTACCATTTGTTTTTGTTTGGAAAAACCCTTTTTACTTTGTTTAATAGCAGTTGTCCCCGAGGGGGAGAAATGAAAAAGAGCTCTGAAGCTGATTATACCAGTCAGGAGTCATGATTGTATGGTGGGCATTGTTTTAATATTTCCACAGAGAAGATGATAGCAAGAAAGAAAAATGAAAAAAAAATTTTGTGAGACTGAAATATAATTAAGGCTAAAATGGAGATAATTTTGGAGAAAAAAACTTTTTCTTTGAAAAACAATTTGATAGCTTTTGTAAAAATAATAGCTATTCATTATAAAAATTAAAAAGAAAAATACAAAGAAAGCCAGTGTCATTTGGAATTCCAGCTCAGAGATAATAACTGTTGGCATTTTGATGAACATTATTACCTTGCACATATATTCACTCATAGACTGTTATGGATTTCTAGTTTTCTGTAAGTGGACTGTATGATACATTTTATGTAATTTATTCTGTTATCATTTCCCCTTCAACATTATATTGAAGGGAAGAAATGTTTCTAAGGAGATGTTATGCTGTCTGAAGACCGTGGACAACTCTTCTGACCTCTTTTGATTTTGGAGACTCCTTTAGGAAGAGGTATGAGCCTCCATACCCAGGCTTCTGGAAGCTAGTAACCCTGAGAAGAGTATCATATAATAAATGTTGGGTATAGAGGCGAAGATGAGGAGTGGGGTTTCTTTATAGAAATGTAACAGCTGACACAAAATATAGCAAAGTATGCATGTTTACATTATTATAAAGATACAATTTCTTTTTAAAAAGTAAACACTCCTGGTGGATGTATGGGGAGGGGAATAGACACTCCTGTAAGGCATTGTCTTAGCTCTTTCTCTTAGACTTCACCTGTTTTCCCACTTATTTCACTTACTCCACAACTATTTATTGAGCTGCTGCTAAATTATAGAGATCAAAGATGAGTAAGGCAGACAAGGGCGGCCGTCTCTACAAGGGCGTAGGGTGAGATACATTCTAGGCTTTGAGAGCTGTGATGGGGAAAGCATGGGTGTTGTGGAAGCATGGGGGCCTGGGGGGACACAGAGTCATTGTCATGGGGAGAGCCGTGGTCAGGGATGGAAGTCACATCTAAAGAAGCAGAAACTGGCCACGTGAGATGGGAAGGGAATTGGGACAGCCCAGTGAAGTTTGTGGTCCACCAAAGGTAGTTCTGAAGGCTGGAGCTCACTGTGAGGAGGAAGGGGCGCAGGGAGAGGGGATGGACACTTTGGCTGGGGAGTGGCAGGCTTAGGCGGCTATGCCAAGGAATTTAGACTTCAACATGAAAAGAGATGGGTGGGACTCTTGAGTTACATTTCCATCGTAAAGGTACATGTTTTTATGTTGGGTCTTTGTCCATTTTGCCTCACAGCCCAGGGAAAGTGAGGATCTGCTCTTTGTCTTTGTTCTTGAAAACAGGCTCCAAACCGTACATTTTGGATCGAAATTTTTTGACCTACCCTTATATAGATCAAACTGACCAAGGAAATATTAAATCACAATTTTACTTACTACTGTGTGAACACTGTCACTGTTAAATTTGCTTGAATTTTATTTATCCCACAGATAAATTGATTAGGTGTAACATAAATGTGAATATCTTGTGCCCAGAAAACTTTGCATGCAGTTAACCCATTAAATACTATTTAAAAAAAAATAATATACATTTCAATCTGCTAAGATGGGTAGGCACCAAAATAAGCTGTTTGGTAGCTAAATTGGGTTGAATGTTGTCCCCCCAACATTCACATCCTTCCCCAAACCTCAGAATGTGACCTTATTTGGAAATAAGATTGTTGCAGATGCACTTAATTAAGATGAGGTCATACTGCAGTAGGGTGCATTCTTATTCCAATAGGATTAGTGTTCATACAAGAAGCGGAGAGACACATACACAGAGAACATCATGTGAGGGCACAGAGATGTGGAGGGAAGATGGCTTTGGAAGTGATGCCTCTCCCGAGGTCACCAGGGACTGTGGGCGACCACTAGAAGCTGAGAGGCATAGACCAGATTCTTCCTTAGAGCCTACCACAAGGAACCAGTCCTTCCAACACCTTGATTTGGGACATCTGGCTACCAGAACTGTGAATGGGTAAACTTTTGTTGTTTTAAGCCCCCAGCTTCTGGTAGTCCTGGGAAACTAATGCAGTAGTAGTCTCGTATCATCAAAGAAGAGGAACTTAAGAGTGTGTGTGTGTTGGGGGGCGGGGGGGCGTTGGGGACGCTGGAGTAGGGTTTCTAGTTTATAACACTGGCTGGCACAATGTTTTTATATCCCTCTTCTAAACATAGTTGTCTGCTGACTTCTCCACCTCTGCCCTTGCCCCCATATGCCCAGATGCATTTCTATTAAAACTATGGTCTTGTACACAATGGATGTAAATATTTAATCTTTCTATTTGTATGTTTTCCCATGTTTATTTTTCACTTGCCTGCTTGCCCTTTTTGTGTTTATCTTGCTAAGTAGTGCCAGGCTTAAAGCATAGACCCCTGGAGGGCAAGATTCCTGTCTATATGAAGTGTGCTGCCAAACACCTACTTTGCCCCACAATCATACACAAATTATTTCTTTAAGATTTTATTTATTTGACAGAAATCACAAGTGCGGAGAGGTAGGCAGAGAGAAAGTGGGGGAAGCAGACTCCCCGCTGCGCAGAGAGCCCGATGCGGGGCTCCATTCTAGGACCCTGAGACCATGGCCTGAGCCAAAGGCAGAGGCTTTAACCCACTGAGCCACCCAAGTGTCCCTGTACAAACTATTTTTGAAGGTGAATGTTCTGTTTAATTATTTCTCGGTTTCTTTAATTTTTCTGTCCAGCAGGTACATGGTATGCATTACTGAAATAACTCATGTAAAGCAATAAGAATTTTCAAAGCTAAAAACACACTGTGGACTAAATATGAACTAAAGTTTAATGACTGACTTTCTTTTGAATTTTTATTTTTTAAGCAATCGCTACACATAACATGGGGCTCAAACTCACAACCCTGAGATCAAGAGTTACATGCTCTACTGACTGGGTGAGCCACATGCCCTGGAATTTTTAAAACCTTTTTTCATTGAAAAAGGACAAAAATTGATAGCCTATGACTGCAACTTTTTAAAGTGTAACTTTAACAGTAAAAATATGAACATAAAGATCAGAAGATCTAGAATTTAAGTTTTCAGTGGTCCTCTACAACTGTAAGTTTGGTTCCTAACAAACGCTAAGGAGTTTAAGACTTTATGGGGAAAAAAAAAGAGAGGGAGAGAGAGAGAGACAATTTATACTGAACCTATGGGAGAGACTGAGAAATGTTTTACATTCACTAAAACAAAGCAAAACAAACTCTAAATAAAGGCCCTATCAATGACATTTATAGGCCTCCAATTATTAAGAATGGGTACTGTACTGTGAATTTTTATCATCAGTTTTTTGCTAGATACTTTGAGGTTCTTATTTTGCTTAGTTCCATGAGACGTTGCTTTTTCTTTGGTGTAGATGATAATCCTCACCCCCCAAACCACATTCTAAATATTTAATACGCATTTATTATACTGCATGTGCTCTGAAAGATTCAAACATTGTAGAAAAATGTAATATAGAAAGTGAAAGTCCCTTGTGATCCAGACCTTCAGAGATTATTGCTGTTAACATTTTGGTACATATCTACCATGTTTTAAAAATGCCTGCATGTGCAATTTTGAAAAAGGTTTTTAAAAAAATTTTTTCTTTTTGCATTTGGTGCTTCTAGACACTTATGCCTTTCTGGTCTTATAATTTTGAGTAACCTCGGGTACATGACTCCTGGCTTTTTGCCATTGTGGTCTCAGAGCTCCAAAATTTGGATCCTGGACATGCAAGAACGTTTGGAGGACCTTTATGTTAAACAGGTATTCTTTGAATCCTTCCTTTTTTTTTTTAAAGATTTTTTTTTTTTTTTTAAATTTGACAGAGATCACAAGTAGGCAGAGGAGATAGGCAGAGAGAGAGGAGGAAGCAGGCTCCCAGTCCAGCAGAGAGCCTGATGTGGGGCTTGATCCCAGGACCCTGGGACCATGACCCGAGCCTAAAGCAGAGGCTTTAATCCACTGAGCCACCCAGGCGCCCCTGAATCCATCCTTTTCATCCTGAGTAATATTTTATTTGCTCTGCCCATGATCACGTCAGGCTGACAAGCCTGCTATCCTATTTCAACAGATCCCAACTGCTTGTCTGCTCACAGCAGCCAAAGGAATGGAGATTTAAGGCTGGGCTTACTATCCACCATCTTTTCTTTCCAGAAGCATCAGTGCACAAACCTATTTCTCACCTTTTCCTCCATTTTACCCACTTTTCTGTTCAGTCCCTAGTTGTTTCCTTTTAAAAACTTCTCTCCAGCAGGAGTGACTTGCAGTTTGCACGTACTAACTCTTAAATTCTCCCCATGCTGAAGAAATAGACTGAAGTAAATTACCCTGATAGATAATTTTGTGCATGTGAAACTCAGAGCCGGACAGGACTGCTCTAATCTCAGTAATGAACACAGATAAACATTTGGATCAATAATCCGATTTTTGAAAATGTAATGTGCAGGAAAAAAAAGTAATGAAAAGACTGTACATACACTGCTTCATAATTTACCATTAGGCATATACGTGCTGAATTTCTAATAGTGAGACACTTTTAATTTATGGTTTGCATTCACCAAGTCAGCTTCGCCCCAATCAGAATTCCTGTTGCTGTAAATTTAGTAAACTTGAACCAAGCCA